CAAGAACGTCGAATCTGAATCACTTGAAAAAAACACGGGGGTGCTTAACTTTTTTCCAGGTGTATATATAGAGAGAGAGAAATTTAAAACATCAACTCTAATTCAGTAAGTAATACAAAAAATATATACTCAGAAACATGAAACTAAAGGTACACTTCAAGATTCCTAAAACTAAAGGACAAAGACAAATCTAGCAGTAAAGATCCCACAACTATTAAAGACTTTTGTACTTTCAATTTTGATAATCATGTATCTTTAGAATTATTCAAATTACTTTACTTTTCTTCTGCCTATGGTAAATATTTATATGTACCTCTGGTAACACCCTCATTTTACACGTGACAGAACAAGAAACACCTCTGACCAGTGTTGACAATATATTATAAACCTTATCCGGCTGTTTCAACAAAGCTGCTCCCATGCCCCCCTAAGAGGAAAACATCAAAGTTAAAAAATATTATTGTCATTTTTTAATAAAATCTTTAATAAGATAATTAACATAATATTTTTGTTCTCTATGGATAAAAAGTATTGAGTTTTCACTTGTTACGACAGATTTTTACTTTTCTAAGGTTATTATAGTAATTAATGGTTACGCTATTATTACAATATCACTAGTTTCTAAACATTTATCAATAAAAATGTTAAAAAGTGAAGGTTTAGGCTATTACAGTGATGTTAATAGTTTCTAAAAATGTATCGATGAGCAAGGTAAAAAGTGAAATTTGTGGCTATTATGCCAATATTATCCCTTTCGCAAAGGGCTTGGTATAAAATACACAAGTTCGTATAAACATATGCACATGTTAAGTTTTTATACTATAACTTTTAATGCAGTATGTGTATCTTCATAAAATGTGGTAGATTTTAGTAAACATTACAAGTGTTGTATACACAAAAAATCATATTTTTAATGAAGTCTTTTTACTAAAGATTTGTTTGTGAATATATCGAGTCTGTTTCATTACTAGTCCGAGTGTGAAGTGATTTTCATGTTATTATTAAAAAAAACTATTCTTCGTCCCAAAAATCTCAAATATCATTTTCATAATTTCTACAACCTCCTAAATACATTTCAAATATTTGTTTTCAGTAAAACTTTATATTTTATCTGTTATTTTCTTTACCCTAACCTTATACGGGGTAGGTCAATTTCATTGACCTCGTAACCACCATCAACAATTAGGAAATAAATATAAATTATGCTTTTTGTTGTTCTAGAGTGACAAATTATAACATGAAGACACAAATGTTTAGACTAAATAGCTTAAATCTCATAACATTATACATTTATATATATTTAATATTTTTATTATACTGACCTTTTCAGCTGTGCCTGGCTAACATTATAGAAGTTGCAATGACACGGTGCACATGCACTCATGTTACCATATCCAAGAATATACAACTGGTCTTTGCAAAGAGACCTGTCTTAGCTGTGTTTTAGCGAACTAGTATTTTGTAAAATAGTCACATTTCAGTTATAATACATTATATATGTATATACATTATTACTATTTACAAATAAGTTCTTAAACTTATTTGTCTTAAAACATAGAACAGTAAATAAAGAAGTATAGCAAACAATTATATCTTCTAGTTACAAATTTTGTACTTGTTTGCTGCTTGCCATAGTTTTCTAAACTTTATCAAATTTCAAAAGTGGAGGATATGAAACAAAATATTTTTTTTAAGGTTATATATATACATTTTGAAATAACCAAAAATCATAAATTACTATATCAACACCATAGAATTCCACTATAATTTATCAAACTTAGTATCTATGCTGTATTTGGGTCTAAAAAAAATATGAAATTTCAAACTCACTAAAGTCTGATCTTACTGTTTTGAATCTTGTATAAAAAGAAAGAGTTCCATACCTGTATATCTTAAAAAGGCTGAGAAAGCCACTAGGGAGACATTCTAAGCTTTCAATTGGTTATTCACATGTCATAGACAGAAGTAGGTGTACGTAAGCAAGTGTTTCCAAAATTGGAAGGAGATGGGTGTAGCCACTGTGTTTGAGTCAGTAAATGTAGCAACATCTCAGCAAACAGAAAAGATAGGAGGTTCTTACTTTATATTCTACCTTGTCAATATAGGTAATTTGAGTTCCTAATTTGTAATAAACTATAGACTTTTGTAATTGGACATCAAAAACATCTAATTTGAACCAATGCTGCATTCAACATACCATGTGAAACACAAAAATCTATATTTTTATTCACTTTTAAATTAAGAAATTAACTAATGTATGATGCTAAAATTTTAATTATAATCTTCAATTTGACATAAATTCATAAAATACTAGTCGAATAAAATTTTGAATCCAAGTCAACAAACGTGATGACATGGCCTTTGACCCATGTCAATAGGGATAAAAGCTCTTAAAAATGTATAAATGAACATTTTAAAAAAGTCAAGACTTAGGCTACTATAATGATATTAAGAATTTCTAAATCTCTTCTGAAATTTAAACTTAAGACAGTCTCACCAAGTTAAGAGTGTCACATTTTCTTGTTTTTTCCCAAGTTTTTCTTAAATGTCACATATAAGTTTCATTAGTTCATTTTTAAACCTAAAAAAATATAAGCTATATCAAAATTACATTGCAAACCAAACCTAAACATTTTTAACTTTATTTTCACATAGCTAGTACTCTATATAATAAAAATAAATAAAAAACCCTGTTTTTTTAATGAAGTTGTAGTTTGATTTTTTAAAAACTGTCCTACAAAAAAAGAGCTTGCAAGTTAACTTTAGCACAAAAATGTACTCGCTTGGTATCAAGAGGTTTTGGGTTCAAACCTGAGCCAAGAAAATAATAAATTTAAAATTTCCACAGTAATTTACTAAAAGACCAAGGTAATCCAATTCTGTAAACCCAAATATTTTCTGATCTTACTTTTATGGAAAACTCTTTTGGACATCCCATGTTAACATCTATTCCAGCTACATCCTTTTCCCTAGAACAATAAAATACATGTACATACTTGCATTTCAACTATAAAAACAATAATAAATAATAACTGATGTACGCCAAAAAAAAAAGGCAAAAATTAAAGTAGATCCTTTACTAGTTAAAAATTAAAAACACAAAATGTAGCTTAGAAAATTATGAAAAGTGAATAAAAGTGCTGACAGAACAATGTCGATCATAACAAGATCCACACTTTGTGTGTGTATGTGTGTGTGTGCTTGAGTAATTACTGAATTTTGATGTAAACATGATGACAAAAAACACAGTATGAAAAAATAACTAACAATGGCCATTTGGATAATCATCTTTATTATCATGGCATAATTATTTAACAATTAAATTGGAGCTAGAAATGAATCAGAAAAAGAAATTACTTAACTGAATATTAGTTTTTATAGGAATTTTTATTATTATCTACATAATAAAATTCAGTGTCTATGTGTGTCATGTAACTTCTCTTAAATTGCTGTACTCGCCAACTTCTAAGTGCTGTCAAATGAATCATCTCAGCCCCACGATTTGCACAAAGGTAAAACTTTTCCCCCAACCACTTAGGGAACCTGGGTATTTTACGGGGATTCCCCAAAAGCAGTCCCCAAATTTAGCATTGATTTACATTAGAACATGCAAATGTAGTAGTTCAAGCATTAAATTTACATTATAGCACTTTAATGTGGGTCATGGGCCCACAAGTTTGCTAAATAGTGCCAAACAAATCATCTTGGCACTGAGGTTTGCACAAAGGTAAAACTTTACCCCCAGCCCCTTAGGAAACCCAGGTGTTTTGTGAAAACACTTTTATATGGATTCCTTAAAAGCAGACGTCAAATCTTGCATTGATTTACATTAGAGTGCACAAACAAATAGGCCTACTAATTAATGTTCATAACTTGGTTAAAGAACTTATATTTGTATTCCTGTAAATGTGGGCCTATGGTCCACATGTTCACTAGTTTTATATTAACATTAATTAAAAGCCTCTAAACGAAGAAGTAAATACTGTATTGAATTCTGTGAAGAGCAAAACCTTTACAACAAACATTTTCAAAAACATAAGAAATAAAACACCAGAATATATGCATAATACACTTACACCATTTTTGCAACAACCAATGCTCTTCCAGGATCACATGTTCCCTAATTAAAAAAATGGCATGTGTTCACAAATATACACTCTAGTTGCATTCACTGTACTGCCCATTTCATGAGAATGAATTTTATAATAAAAACACAAACATTTAAATGCTTAACTAACACACAGCTGACATTACATATTTAAAGAATGCAGATGTATTATAATAAGAAAAAACATTTATGTACATAAATCTAATAAGCTTGTTTCAACTTAAAAGTATACTGTACAAATTCACAAACAATTATATTTATAATACCACAAATCTAACTATTACTATATTCATGTAAATAAAATATTCTATTTATGAGGAAAATATATACAAGTATAACAGAGAATACACAAAAGTTAAAAGAATTCTTTTAAGTTGAAGAGATATTGCAATTACAAACAAAAACCTTTATGGAAATGAATAATAAATTTCTGAGCTACTTGATTACAATCATGTTCTTCTACTAATCAAAACAACATATAATGCAATATATTAACCTTACCTGAGCAGACTAAAGACTAGTTTCTGCAGAATTAGATATCAGACTAAATAAAAGGGGAAGAGCATATTAGATAAAAATATGGCTATTAAAGATGGACATAATTCAATTTACATGACTATGTTAACATTGTTACTAGGATTCCTCCTTCTCATTTGGTTTTGAGACGAAATGTTGAACTTCATCTTCAAAAAAAAAAAAAAGTCTCAGAACAGTGTGTAAAACATCCACTGAAAACAGCAGCAGCATTCCATAATAATAATAACATTAACTCAACATTATTGGGTTTTTTTTGTGCTCTGCTAGGAATACGAATATCATGAAAATATTGACTAATTTTTCGGCATGAAACCATACTTTAATATGTCAAAAAATGATAAGATTGCAAGGAAAGACACTTTAGTTACAAGGAACAAGGTAAGACTGCATTTAAAGAAAAACATCATATAGACCATAAAACTTAGGCACTATAATTTACAGCAGCAAGTTACTTGTACTTGTTGCTCATCTCCTTTTAAGTTTTATTTAGGGTTAAGGATCAATACAGAAATAATTCAATCACAGCTTGGTGATGAAAACAGAATTACTAGGAGTAAATTAACTAATACTTAAATAAAATTTACAGTGTAGCCAATTAGGATTAAGCATTGTAAGAGAACAAATATTGACATTTTTTTCTTAATGCTATTTTATATCAAGCAAAAAAAGAACAAAAAAAAATAAATACTTTAATTTTATTTACAAATTTTACACTGTCCAATAACAGTGTAAGGTAATTAATTTTCATGTATACAAGCTACAGATATATGTGTTGAGAAGTGTATGGAAAATGATACTTGCTATTATCAAAAGAGTTATGAATGTGAATTTACAGTCTGATAAACTTTAACAAGGGTTTAGTAATTTATATCTATTAATCAGTTATATTTTTATTGCTTAACAAGTAAATTCTAGTAATGTTACTTTACTGTACGTATTACTATTTGTCCACTTTGTATCTCTAATTTGAACAACATGCTTGTTATTAAAAAGAGAAAATAAAATGCTCTTTCAATTTATAACTTTATACCCATTTCTATGCTAATTTTAATAATTATAAATTAGAAAGAAAAGTGAAAAAACATTTTAACCAAGGTAAAGAAAATAAAGTTACTAGAGAAGTTGCTGTGTAAGATATAAAACATTTGCATATAAATATATATTTTCTTTAAACTTCAATACTCTTTCACTTAAAAACATTTTTTTATAATTTTAATCCTTTTCACTTACCATTTGTAAAACAACCTTATTTCTTTCTTTACTGCAGGTTCTAAAAACTATGTTTTCGTCATCATCTATGTAATCTATAGTTCCAAGAATCTCTGAAATATAAACATTCAGTAAGATGAAATAAAACCTAATTTATATGTTTTTATACACATAAGGAATGTTATTCTATTTCTATTTACATTACATTTTCCATTACATACAAGTAGCAATTTTTAGTTTGTTTTATCATAATGATTAAATGTTATACCTATTACATGTACGTTACCCATTTATTTCCTTGAGGATATGAAGCAACCATAACATTAAAAAAATTCATAAATGTTGTCATTCAGACAAAATCCTTCAGTTAAACTTGAAGTTTTAAAGTTCTCATACAAAAAATTAATCTTAACTCTTGGTGCTTTCACTATAAAATTATGTAACTCATTAATCAATTATATTTCATTATATTCATGAATTGTGACACTCTTCAATTAATTGAAAATCATAATGGTAATATCATAATTACCTGGATAGTTGAAGTAACTGAAAACAATAACTATAAACCCTAATTTTGATTAGTTTACTATTTTCACAACTAAACAGTTTAATTGTAATTTTGATTATTTTATGTAACTCTAATTAATGTAAGCAATGCTCATATGTAATTGGTTATATTGGCTAATCGAGTTAATCCTTCAGCTCTATAGCCAATCACTTTTTTGTGAAATCCTTAAAGGTAATAAAACAATGATGACTTTTAAAAAGAACTTACTATTAGTAAATCTTTGACACTTCAATAATCGATAATCTATAAGTTCCTGCAATAAAAGAGAGAAAACTACAATTAACGAGTACATATAGATATCACTCTATCTTAACTAACACAAATACCTTGGCAACTGTCACACTGAAAATACCATTTCACTGGTGCATTTTTATGTACTAAGTTTGAACCTGAAAACTATTTTTCCCCATATGTTGTCTTATGAAGAAACTGGACCCCAAAGACAAGAACTTTCATCATTAAAAATATATAAGGAAATCTCTGCACAATGCAAGTAAGCCAGCATGGCCTGGAGGTAAAAGCTGGGGTGTTTTGTTGTTCAAATTAGCAGACCACAGTTCAATAATTATACTTGAGTCCTACCAAATACCATCAAGAACCACAAACAAAAGTGAACAGACCATTGATCCAACAGCCATTATTAATTATCATATAAAACTAAAAGAACTATATATTGCACATTTCTCATACATGATGGTTCCTGTAGCTTATGATACATAATATGAATCTCACCAAAGCCAGGAATGCCCACGAAAGTGAGGTTAATAATAAATAGTAAAAATACAATATAAAGCCAGTTAAAACAAAATATACAAACAAAGAAGTAATTAGTTTACTGTATAATATGAAAAGTCAGTAAAAATCCGAAAAGTTGAATAACAATGCTCACTTCTCATCGCTAGTAATAGTACTAGTAAATGCTGTTAATGACTTGAACGTTTAAATGAATTATGCTCCTTGATCAATATTGCAAATATTTCGGTGTTTTTCACTGAATTAGATAACCTTAAAGGTTGAGTGAAGATAGATGGCACTGTGGCATCATATTCTTAATATTTTCTGGACTCAAGACAAATCTTAAAAGTTAAAGTTAACCCTTACCTCAGTAAACACAATGTCTGCTCCAAAATCAAGAGCTAATAACCTCATCGGAAGAGTACCAACTCTAACCATTGGGGCAAGTATTATTTTATTATCAAATTTAAGGCGCAGTGAAACTTGTTCCATATTTGAAACAGATTTTATCTATTAAATAACAATAATGGAACAGTCAAATATTTAATTAATGAATGAAATCACTGCTTAAGCGTACATCCCTACGCTACAAATTAAACTATGTGTGGCGGAAATTGTAAAGCGCTCTCTAGCATTTAGTAAAAATAAATATTCAGGTGTGAAAACTCTCTTAACTACTAAACATGATGTTCCTTTCTAATTTATATAATTTTTAATCGAGATAATTAGATATTTAGTTTATCAAAAATTTTACAAACAGTTTTTATTTCAGTAACTCAACAATGACTGTCAATTCGATTTTCTTTTATATTTTATAATTTCTTAACTGTTAAGCGCAAAGTACACAATGGTCTATTTGTGTTATAAGCCTTCAGACTTCCCACATTGAGTCATGAGACAGAACCGCCTACCACCTCCAGTAAAACAACCGAGAAAATAAACACCAGCACTTAAACAATCAGCCTCGAAATAACTTCACGGCAGACACAAACCATGTCACCTCTATCAACCATGTTACTTCTACCAGCCATGTGTGACACCTCTACTTCTACGGACAGCTTATTTCTTATACACCAAGAAACACAGACCAGGATTGCCAAAAAGGACCGAAGAATTCAGACTGAAGACCACAACGATACAGACCCCAAAAGATTGACAAGATCAACTTTAAAAATTTCAGACGCACTACCAACCGAAGCCCATTCCAGCTGAACAACGATCCGAGTGTACACAGTTTCACGTCGCCCCTTCACCCAGCCAGCCTGTTCTAGACTTCAAGCATAACCAGAAGTCACATGGAAGTCAATCCTAAAAAAAACTAATAATATATCTTTTTTCACAGCATTTTCCGGGCACGGTCAGGATATTTTATTCGGCGCCCTGGCCGTGAAAGTGGGTTTTCTCGGGGTACTCCCATCCCCCTCACAACAAAATTTTTCCTTATGCTTTGGATCCCTCGATCCCAGCCCTGAAAAGGACCATCTCAGGTTAAATGTAACACTACAGTTCTGTGCTAATGTGTAGATTGTGAAATCCTTATCCTAAATTGGTAGCCAATATTCTTTAATCAGTTTAATCTCAACATTTTAGTCAACAACGGACGTATTCGATCTGCATCTCCCTACTCTGCTCTTCTCTACAACGACCGAAGCCACGTGGTCATCCAACGCACAGATCCCGCCGAATGAAAGAAAACTTCCGTAGTCAAAGCTCTCCTTCTTTCTCTTCTTCTCCACGTCTTTTCCCTCAGCTTGTGAACTCGTCACTAGGAAAATTATCAGTTAAGACCTTCACTCACGTAAGCATTTAATTCTTAAAAGCCCCGGCCATTTAATTCTAATTATATAGTGGGGGGAAGAGAAACAGCAGTTTCTGACCTCCCCTGGCTATATTTCATTCCCCGAAGGGGAATGAAATATACTTTTAAACTAAATTCCTACCATGCCAAACGAACGAACGATGTGAGCCGCTGGAGGGGTGGGGTGGGGGAACCACACTGTAAAGTGTAAACAAAGTTAGGTGAATCATATCTAATGTGTAAATATATATATGACCCCATGTTTTATTTTCAATAACATTAGATAGATTTTTATTCACATTCATCTTGATTTAGTGATTTATCTCTCCAAGAACTAGTTGCCTTACTTTAGAATTAGTTACACAAAACCGATTAGTTCTTAAGATAATAAATAACATAATACAAAATAATAATACTAGAACAGACTCCTCTCTTATATTTAAATCTATTTTGGTTGTTGAATCTAAATATCATTGTAAAACATTTCTAAAAGCCTGGACTGTTTTATACGTCGTTTAATCCAAATTAAATGACATATGATATCCTGGTTATACACTTCTTAACAGTTTTTACTGTTAAATAACATACATGTCTTTATTCGTTTTTTCTATACCAACCATTGCATTATTTTATTTCGACAGAGTGATGGAGACTGTCTAGCTTTCGCTCTAAATATAATAAACATATACGGATAATTTAAGAACAACAATGGACCTGTTGGTCCATATAGGCCATCCCATCCACTAAGCTACACTTTAAAATAAAAATTAAAAACTCAAAGCCAGTATTAATCATTCAAATATTTATCAAGCCTTATCTTAAACTCTCTTAAATAAATTGTATCCACCACATGTAAAATCAATCCATTTCAAAGGTCAACCACCCTGTAAGAAAATAAAGCTGTCTTAGCTTAAGATTACTCATACCCTACTAAATTCATATTTGTGTTCCCTAATCCTACTATTCTCAACATTAATGATGAAAGAAGATGACGCTTCAACCCTATTGTTACGTCTCCGTTTGTTAATTGATTTTCCGTAACTTCGTTCCGACGAAACTTTAGCGACACAAGTCCTTAATTAATAAAACTGGTTTATTCTTTCCGAATACAACTTTATGATACACTTATTTTCAACAGTCGCGCTATAACAAACTATAATAACGACGTTAACTTCAACAATACGTCTCTCTCTGACTGCAGTTCAATTACTCATTACCTACACACATTATCGCGTCACGTTGTGGCCATCTTATATATACCGGACTACCCTATATCTAGTAATCTCTCGAAGGTTCGAGAGAAGGAGTGGCGTGATAATAGTCACGTGACCTCGCTGACGCAACACTATAAACTATAATGTAATACATATACCTTCACATTAAGTAATAGGTACTGTTACGACAGCGGAAGTCACGCGACGCTGGGAGCATGCGCGCTGGAGTTTCTAGAAGGATCGTGACTTAACGGGGAACCTCACGAATATCCCAGTATTTGCTAGACGCCCTCTTTTTTAAAATATAAGCCAACGATAGAGAAATATGCAGGGAGATTG